AGTCTACCTTACAGCGCGATCCCGAAATGTAAGTATGCAAAGATGAGCCTTATCAGTTCAGAAATAAACACGGTATTCGGAACATACATACCCACATACACGCACATTTACACATTTATAAAGACTTACAATATATGTAAGGATATGGAGATATATTACACTATTATAAGAACATTATACAACCTCAGGAGTTTGATCAAATTTTCACATTCCATTTCTGTAGGGATGTTCGCAATATATCGCAAACTCATTACTAGGACAAAACAGCAGCTGAATCTGCCAAATCACTGTGAGATGTTCTAGATAATAACAGTACACTCTCGTTGGACCAACAAATCTGCAACTTCCACGCTCTGTTAGATAGTAGAACTGCTTGATTTGGATACCTTTTATACTCAGCCTCTCGTGGATCTTCCGCCTCATCGTGGCGCGGGAACGACTCTGGATGTAGAACCGCGAAGTACAGCGGAGGTTTATCTTTGAACAGGGCCTCCCAAGCCAAGAAGGAGTGCGAAGTTTCCGGTTTTCTGGCAACTATCCAGCTAAGATAGAGCGGCCGGAAGCGCCACCGTCAGGCTGATTTAGCCGCTAGGTGGTTCTCTGATCCACAAAGAATAGCGATCGCCTGGTGAAAGCTTAGCACGCCGCAACAAGGCTGCTGAACTTTGAGAAAAATCTTATACGCAATAAAAAAGTACCATATAATCGCCCTGCAGGAAACAACTTTGGGAAAGATGGACGTGAGGTAGCAGAGTGATGAACACTCATCATTCAGGGTGAGAAAGTTCCATCACGGAATGTTGAAGGCATTGGATTGGTAAAACACCCATTGTTCATTTTGTCGATTAGCGAGATTCTATCTTCTCGCCCGGCTATCCCTCGACTCTCCTCTACATCAGAAAACCATCATCAACCGCTATTTTCCAACATCAGCCGCTGCTGACGCGGCCCTTAATGTTTATTATGGGATTTGGATTCATCGCAGGTGACTTTAATGCGATCTTCGGGATGCCATAAGAAGGGGAGCATAGGATGCGAAGATTTGGATCAGGACTCCGGAATGAGAGGGGTAACTATCTTCTTGGGCTCTTGCCGCACGACTTTTTCAAGCTAAATTTATCTTCATAAGGAAGGAAACACCGGCGGTGAACATGAGAGTCGTCAAAGGGTATGACTCAAGCGGAGATTAACCACATCTAACCTTAGGTGGTGCTGCCAAACTCTTAATTGGTACCATCCCTCAGCAGTGGCTCGGATCACAGTCGACTTTTAGCAAAAGTGCGAT